CGCACAGAAGGGGCAGCGACAAGTGTGACCCTCCGGTTGCGTGTGATGCGGAGACAGGACCTGCCAACGGTGACAGCGTTTCCAAAATGCTGCCCGACCCTCACAGACCTGCGGCTGGGCAGGCGTCCGGCCACGAGGAGGCGCTCGCGAGTGGGTGCTAATGTGCTGAGGACGTGGCTCCCCACGTGTCGGTGGGACACAGGCCCACGCTGAGACGACGCACTTCCCTGAACGTGTCCGCCTCACCAGTGCCCTGTCCTGGTGGTGGTCCCGCCATCCTCCCAGTCAAGCAAGATCCCTGACCCCCCGAGCCCGCAGGTCCCTCCTGTCCTGTCTCTCTCCACGCCACCCTCGCCTCTGCTCCTCCTCCCCCTGGACCTTCGCCCCAGCCTCCTCCCCGGACTCCCAGCTTCCTGTCCGTGCTCCACACGGGCTCCGAACTGCCCGGGCCCCAGCCCCCTGCCCCTGCCAGCTCACAATCCTTCTGTGGCTCCCAAGTCCCTCGCAATAAACACCAAGCCCTGGACGCCCTGGCAGGCAGGTCCGCCCACACACGCCGCCAGCCTCTCTGTAAGCACGGGCTCGGCCCCTGCAGGCCGCTGGCTCCACACTCCTCTTTCCTCGCCCCTGGGCCCCTCCGGGCTCTACTGCTCGGTCCTTTAGGAGCTTCACTACCTGCCTAAGCCCAACTCCCGGCCCCGCCCCCAAATCCTGCGCTCTGCCTGCGGCATCTTCCCCGGCCGCTCCTCTCCGCCCCAGGCCCAGGCCCCGTCTCACTGCGGGCCCGGGCCTCCCTCACCTGAACCGCCCTCACACCCTGCCATCTGCTCCAGGTCCTCTTCACTCACTGCCTTCCGAGTCCCTTCTCCACCATCTCAGACCCTCCGGCCGAACGCCCACCGCAGCCCCTCCTCACCTGTGGCCTGGGCCACCGCCTTGAGAAGGACACCATCCCCGACGCCGAGCTCCAGGCCCTGCTGGGGGGGCCCGAGGCAGTTGAGGCTGAGGTAGAGGATGGGGAGGAGGTCTGGGGGCGACAGGGCCACCACGGAGCGAAGCAAGTTGCTCAGCGTCTCCACCATCCGGAGCCTGGAGGAGGAGAGGGACTGCCAGGCCAGGGACAGAGCCGGAGGCACCCGCCCCGCCCGGCCGGCCGGATTCCTTACCGAGCAGAAACCTCCTCGATCTTCTCGAACGTCCGGGCCACCGCCAGGTAAGGGACCCTGGGGAGGGGAGGGAGACACAAGAGCAGCATGGAAACCCACGCTGTCCTCCACCCACCTGCCTCCCCGAGGACGGCCTTGCGATACCCAAATGCATGCCCACCCCTGATCCCGCCTGCTCCCCGGGGTTCTCTCTGTCCCCTTCAATGCTGTTCTGTCCCCAAAACACAGAGGAGACCCCGGACAGTGTCCTGCGACTGGTCTCCTGAGAGGCCGCCGCAGCGACAGGGACTGGAGTACAGCAGGGCGGCCAGGGCGAAGCCTCACTTCTGGCCCTGCGTCCAGCACGCGTCCTGGACAGGATGGTAGTTTTTCTTGGCAGGGTTGTAGCTGGATGGGTCCAGGGGGCTGCGGAGGCAAAAGGGAGATTAGATGAGGTCGATGCTGGGCCTCTCACCAGCCCCTCCCTCGCCCACTCTGGGTGGGCAGCACGAGGGGGAGGTCATTGGGCGCTGTGCTAAGAGCACACAGCTGTTAGCAATCAGTCCTGCAGGTACGGGCTCTTCTACATTTTCCAGACCAGGAGACTGGGGCCCAGAGTGGTGAAGCAGTTCCCCCGGGTCACACAGCTAGTAGCAGGGCTCCAGACCGCTCTGACCCCTACATCACAGCCTCACGCTGACCCTGTCAGAGCCAGCACAGCCCCAACTGCAGCCAGACCATCTGGTTCAAATCCCTGCTGCGTCACCAACCAGCGGTGACACCTGGAGGAGTGGCTTCTGTCTCCAAACCAGTGTCTCTATCTGTACAATGAAGCCACCAAAATCCTAGTGACATGCTGTCATACGGGTTAAGGAAGAGATAGGGTAAGGATTCTCGCGAGGTGCATTTTGTGGGGATTATTTGAAAAACAACACTGATGCTCTGGCCGGTGTTTCTAAATGGTTAGAGCATCTGCCTGCAAACCGAAGGGTCGCAGGTTCGATTCCCGGTTAAGGGCAGGTACCTGTGCTGCAGGTTTGATCTCCGACCCCAGTCCGGGCACATGCAGGAGGCAACCAATCAAAGTCTCTCTCTCCTTGATGTTTCTCTCTCTCTCTCTCTCTCTTCCCTTCCCTCACCCCCCCGCCCGGACCCCCCTTCCATTCTTTCTAAAAGGTCAATGGAGCCAAAACCGGTTTGGCTCAGTGGATAGAGCGTCGGCCTGCGGACTGAAGGGTCCTGGGTTCGATTCCAGTCAAGGGCATGTACCTGGGTTGCGGGCACATCCCCCCGTGGGAGATGTGCAGGAGGCAGCTGGTCGATGTTTCTCTCCCATCGATGTTTCTAACTATCTATCTCTCTCCCTTCCTCTCTGTAAAAAATCAATAAAATATATTTAAAAAAATAAATAAATAAAAAAATAAAAGGTCAATGGAAAAAAATATCCGCCGGTGAGGATATTTAAAATAAATAAATGTAATCCTGACTCCCAGCCTCAGGCCTGTATCTATTCCAAAACTGGGGACCGAAGGTCACATGAGAAGACTCCCGATTTTTCAGCTCTTCCACTGATTCTTCTGCAGACAGGACTGTGGATGGAACAGGTGCAGGGCTGTGCACAGTGAATTGTACAGACTCTGTGTTGAGTAAGTGTAGCTGTTATGGCTTTTTTTTTTTTTTTTATTGATTTCAGAGAGGAAGGGAGAAGGAGAGAGAGATAGAAACATCAATGATGAGAGAGAATCATTGATTGGCTGCCTCCTGCACATCCCCTACTGGGGACCAAGCCCACAACCCAGGTATGTGCCCTTGGCCGGAATCAAACCTGGGACCCTTCAGTCCGCAGGCCCGATGCTCTATCCACTGAGCCAAACTAGTTTAGGCGGCTGTTTCTATGTTACTACAAGAGGCAGCAGAGCATGGTGGGTAAGAAACTACAGCCAGACTGCCTGCTTCATCCCAACTCTGCCACACTCCCCGTTTGCAGCCTAAGCAAGGCCCTAAACTCAAGTCATAGTAATAACAGTAACAACAGCAGCCGCTATAAACCTGCTGAGCTTGGCCGGAGCCGAAGCCTCGTCTACATGCTTCCCGCCCTCAGGAGGAGACGGGCACAGGGAGGCCGTCACTCCCGAGGCCACACAGCTGGCAAGGGTGGAGCTGGGCTCTCAGCTCTCCACGCTGCCCTGCCTCCACGCTCACTCCCCTCGCTGCGAAAAGGGATACCAACTGCATCCACACACCGTGGTGCCGTGAGGAGCACAGAGGCCCACGGCCTAGCGCCTGGGACACAGTTAACAGGGATGTTAACTTCCTGTCATCAATACGTCCCACTTCAAAGGTGAGGAAACTGGAGGTCCCGCAGGTCGGCCTGTCACCTCTAGGCAGCTGTCAGACACAGACCAGTGATCGGGCTGGGAGTGAGGTAAGAAAAAGGGTCGCAGCATCACAGGAAATGAGGAACGAGACATGAGACGTCGTCTCTGGTAGAGAAACATCTGTACGTGCACCAGCACAGACGCACACCCAGGAGGCACGACGGGGCAGTGGTGAAGGGAGAGCCCAGGCTTAGGAATCGGGGGACATGAGTCCCAGGCCTGGCCTTACCCCCACCTCCCTGTGGGACTCAGGGAAGCCGACCGAACCTCTCTGGGCTCATGTTCCAATGCCTGTGAAATGGCTAAAACACCCGCCTCCTCCACAGGACGGCTGCAGAGGAAGAGAGCCTTCAGCTGTACCTGACACAGTACGTGTTCAAGAAAAGGAGCTCGCTGCCCTGACCGGTTTGGCTCAGTGGATAGAGCGTCGGCCTGCGGACTGAAGGGTCCCAGGTTCGATTCCGGTCAAGGGCATGTACCTGGGTTGCGGGCACATCCCCAGTGGGGGTGTGCAGGAGGCAGCTGATCAATGTTTCTCTCTCATCAATGTTTCTAACTCTCTACCCCTCTCCTTTCCTCTCTGTAAAAAATCAATAAAATATATTAACACTACGGTGTCGGGTGAATTTCCCGCCAAAATATAAGATGGTGCGGGCAATTATTTAGGTTTCCCGCGCAAAATCAGAGTTAGTTTAAAATGCCTATATCTTTTGAAGTATGGGTTCGATTGAAATGAAATTTTCGGTTTCTTGTGTAAAAAATGAATATTCAATCACAGACATTTTTTTATCTATTCAGTACATAAATAATTCGATATATATAAACTAAATACGAAAAACCCAAAAAATACTTATTACCTAAAAATATACACATATTTTTAAAGTTTAAAATAAAATTTTCATAATAAATCAAAACAAATAGAAATTAATAGTTTTTTAGCGTATGATATTTTTCAAAACACGCCCCTTTATGTAGAGGTATATTGCAAAATTTGCACATGTAGCGTGTCTCACTGCGCAATTTATGAACGGAACATACGCGACACCTTCTCAAAATGTTTTTCTTTTTTCCACTTCCGACAATTGCCTGTAACGTATGCTTTCTCATGTCCATCGATAGCCTGCATGGTGGATCAGATGTAGGTGGTTTAGCCCGCATTCCAGAAGTAGACGGTACTGGTTGAAGGTCTGGAACAATGTCCATGTCCTCTGGAATATCATCCGTCAACCAGCGGATAGCTGTTTGTTTCAAAAACATTTTAAAACCCATTTTTCTTTGCCTCACTGATTTGTAAACTGCATAAGAATTAAATAATGCGCAATGTATCATATACATTGCCAACCTTTTTGTCCATTTGACTGTCCTCCGCAATATCGAATAATATGAAAGGTATTGGTCGGCCCGGTCAACACCTTTCATATGTTTATTGTAGTCAATGAGTGCATTCGGTTTGACAATTTTCTTTTTTGATGTTCTGTCAATATTCTGACTTTCTTCCATCTCCGCAGAATGAATCGAAGAAATCAGGTATACAGGCTTTTTTGATTGCCACACTTGTAACAATATATCATTTTTCCTTATAAATTTTGTTTCACCTTTTTTCAAAGAAATTGTTTGAAAATCTTTAGGTATACCTCGATTTTTCCGGATTGTTCCACATATTCTGAATTTGTTTTTCATAAGTGCTTCACAATTTGCGACGCTATTATTATAATTGTCCATATATATATGGTACCACGAATCAGTGTATGGAGACACTACTGTTTGTATCGTTTCCAATAATCGCTTTCCTTCGCCGCAATACATTTCCATGTTACAGATATATCCTGTATCACTTTCGCACAACAAACGAACCAATATTCCATATTTAACGATCTTGCCAGCATTATATACCCTAAAGAATAATCTTCCCCTCCAAGGTACGATCCCTTCATCTAGTGATAATTGCTGATGAGGTTTGTAAATATTTATAAATTTAGGCACAAAATAATCTAGTACTGGTCTCACTTTGCAAAGTCTATCTGATTCATTTACGATATCCGCATTATTATTGAAGTGCCAAGCTTTCCATATCTGTCGGAACCTGTCTCTCGTCATCGTTTTACCAAAATATGGCATCTCCGTCCATGGCTCCGTGGTCCAATAGTCATCTCTTCTATCTTTGCGCACCTGTCCCATGAGAACAATTAACCCTAAAAACTTCTTCATCTCTTGAGGGGTTATATCTTTCCACTTTAGGCTTTCTTTTGAAAGTTTGAAATTATTCCTATTTTGATTATAATACCTGTTTGACTCCTCTACAAGAAATTCAAAAAAATCATCTCCGATAAATAATTTCACGGCATCTTCTATATTATTTATAACAGCATCTGTGTTTAATCCTTGATGCCCTAAAAAATCTTCTAAGACCGGTGGATTATCAACATGCGACCATTCTTCTCTCCCGCCTTCTATATCTGACTCTGAGTCAGAGCTGGAGCTCGAAATTCTTCGTTGCCTCAATGTCCTGGGACGCACCATTACTTCATCATCACTAGAATCTTCATCACTTGTACTCGCATTTTCAAGATCGCTATCACAAGAATAATTGGACAACTTGTCTGCACAAAACTCATCATCACTATAGTCTGAATGCTGCGACATTCTAGGTTAAAAAAAAAAAAAGAAAGAAAGAAAAGGAGCTGGCTGCAGTGCAGTCACACACTGAAATGAAGCCACTTAATCTCACTTAGGTCTCCACTGGGGTGCAAAACTGACATTAAGAATCCCCCAAACTTTTTTTATTAGTATAATTAAAGCTGAAAATTTTCTGTGCAGTGATGATCTGTCTCCTTTTTGGAGGCTTACAGTAAAATCAAAGCGGTTTGGACTCGCTGCCTGATCCTTTCCAATCCACTGTCCTCTCTACTCAACAAGACACTGACTCACCCCGTGGACGCCTCCTTTCTTGGGGTGCCAGGCCCCTCTTCTTTCACTTCCTTTTTGATTGCCGGCTTCCGGGGGGCTGGGAAGGAAGCCAGAAAATTGTGGGTCCTTCTCCTTCTGACAGCCCCCATCCCACACCCCTCCCCAACTCTCAATAGCCAGTGACAAGCCAGGAGATGTAGTCATTAGACTTTCTAACACAGGAAGCCAATGGACCTGCAGCTCTCTCTGGAGAAAGGCCGCCCGCCTCCTCCCAGCACCGCCCAGGGGAGGGGAGGCAGGAGAGAAACTCACTGAAGAAACTGCTGAGCATCTTGGGAGCTCTGGGGGGCGGCTTGGCCTGCTCCTCGTCCTGGGGCTCCTGCTTCACCACCACCACGGGCTCTGAACCGCTTTCTGTCGGCGGCTCAGCTTCTAAAGCGAGAGGTCAGACGATGCTGCTGCAAACTGTTCCCACCCTGAAGCTTTTTACTGTTTAAA